AGTGAGGTCAGTGCAGGGAAAGAAGGTGGAGCCTCACCTGGAGCCCTGCCCATACCCTTTCTTGTCCTGGTTGCAAATTTCAATCCCCTACTGCTGAGTCCTAGAAACACCATCTCTGCTGTCCCTCTCGGGGCGCTCTGTGGTTGATCTAGAGTAGGGAGGTGGAGAGCGTCGTGCTGCTGGGGCTTCCTGAGGTAGAGCTGGTGAAGCTGAGAGAGCCCCCGGGGTGCTCGGAGAGTTGATGGGCTGTGAGTCTCACCTTCCAGGTGGCCGTGTGGGATGAAGCACGTGCAGGAGGTCAGCAGGCATAAATGTGAACAACACACACACACCTTCCCGAGGACTATTTGGGCACAAGGTTATTTTCTCCAGGCGTCTCAGAATCATCAACTAATGGTTCCACAAATCTACACCTGAAGCCAGACGTGTGCAAAGCGACATGCTAGGGATGCAGTGTGAAACCATGATTTAATGCTTGCGTCTTCTTCTGTATTTTCCAGCCCCTGCCCTGCTAAGGAATGCCAGGGTTTCCAGGATAACTATGCAGTGTGCTGCACAGGGCAGGACAGAGCCAGACAGTTCGTTCTGTTCCTATAGCAGATAAAGGCCCCCTTTTGCCCTCGCAATTTCTGTCACCCCTCTCCCCGGCGCCTAAAGAATATTGTGTCCTGGATCACAGTGCCTTGTGGCCTCTATGGACCCTTCCCAATTCCTGGTAGTTTCATTTCCTGGAAGGCTGCAGCTCAGAGCCAGAGGCTCACAGGTTTGAGGCCTAGAAGTCCTCTCTGCTTTCCCTTCTCTCCCACCTCCCACTAGCACCAGCAGCAGTCTGCAAACCGGTGAGTCTACCTGCCATGTTCTCCTATCTAGTCCCCAGGGACAGCGGCTCGTGAGGACTCTCGCCACCCACTCCCAGCTGGTCTCCCTGCCAGCGGTCTCCCACCCTCACCCCAGCCAGAGCCATCTCGCATACCGCTGCCGGAAACAGCTCCTCAGATACACGCTGCTGACAGCGCTGCTCCTGTTTAAAGCCCTTTCCAGCTTCCCGTCACTGACAGAAGGAGGTCCTTAACTTGGTGTTCACAGTCAGCCCAACCGTGCATGCCCTGTCTTCCCGCTTCATCCCCCACTCCACTCCCCTGGCCACACGAGGCCACTCTGCTCCCCAGTCAGCTCCCAAGGTCCCCCTGACTCCAAGTTCTGGCTCCGGCTTCTTCTTTGTTGAAATGCTCCCAGCTGTGTCCCATTTATCCTGTCTTTTGGGCCAGCCCCACTCTCAGGGACCTCCCTAGACCACACAATCAAGATGCACCTTGCATGTCCCTGTGCCCCTGGCATGCTACTACACAGTGTATTCGCAAAGTTCTCTGTCCACATCCAGCCCTCATTGTAGGATGGGATCTGAGGCAGGGAGTCCTTGTGTTTTATTTTATTCTTAAGAGGAAAAGTGAGAATTCTTATTATTTTTAACAATATTTAGCTTCCTCATCGAAGACATTAAATACTACCATGATTTAGTAATAACACTGTACTGTGGCATTCATTAAACCATTGACTTGGGGACAAGATGAATGACATGTATTTGCAAGCTATTCACGATTCAGGAGTGACAACTAACTTTGAACACCATAGAGCAAACCATTAGTGGTGTATTCTACAAAATCCCTGCTGCTGAAGGAATGTGAAAGGTTCCCATCAGCTGCTTGATATCCTTGAGAGATGTCAAAACAAGACAATACTGTTCTCACGAATCAGCTGGCTGAACTTCCGACTTAAGCGAAAAATCAGGGTGATCCTCAGGCTTTGGCTACTTTTCAGTCCCAAGCAGAAATGGATGTATATTTTTTGCTCGAGAAAATCAAAGTTGTATTATGGAGGTTCTACGCATTGCTACCAGGCTGAATAAAGACTACATGGGGAAGTGCTGAGAGCAAATGTCCCCACATGGTGACATTATACGTTGCTGGGACCTTTGAAGAATCTGGCTTGGGTCTGATTTTCTGGAAGCAAAAATTCACTAAAAATGAGTAAAAAAGGGAAGGGGTGGGCAGGATGTTTTTATATAATTCAGGGGAAAGGAGTCACAGCGGGGGAGTCACGACACAGTGGACTGCTGATAAGCCAGTCGGATGGTCTAGCGATATATGCTGTGTTGGTGTTTTCAAGTTGTGGAATTGGATTTTTAAAAGACATTTTTATTTTGAAATAATTTCAAACATACAGAAAAGATGCAGGTATGGCAACTCCACATCCGTGTCTACTATTTATATGCACACAGTTTTTTTTCTGAACCATTTGAGAGTACTAGCAGGCACTGTGTTCTTTTACCCCTAAACATTTCAGTTGTATATTTCCTAAGAACAAAAATATTCTCTTACAAAACCACAGTATGGTTGTCAAATTCAGGAAATTTAACATTGATCTTAATCTACAGACAGTATTTCAACATTATCAGTTGTTCTAGAAACTTCCTGTACTGCTTTTCACCCCTCTAGTACCGGATCTGGTCCAGGGTAACATACTACATTTATTTATTTATTTTTATTATTTTTTTAAAGTGTTTTTTAAATTTATTTTTGAGAGAAAGAGAGAGAGAGAAAGAGAGAGAGAGA